CGAAAAACAAGCCTGTTTTCCATGAATGCAGTGCCTTACTTGATATTATAATAGCTGTGCAAAAAGTGACTTAAAATTACGAAGGGATTCTGCTTGCCTTAAAGGTTTAGGAACAGCACCACTGTAGCGAAAACTATAACGGAGTTAATTAGTGCGTGGCTGTGGAATAGTTAACTAGTATTCATTACGTATTGAATATCCTGTTCCAAGCTTTCAGATAGTAGACCGCGGGAGAAAATTCGATAAGGGAAAAATAAAACGATCTCCCCTCGTTTTTCCTCCTCGTCCTCCCGTATTGAATGCTCTGTACTGGTAGGTTAAAGAAATGTATTATATGTATTTGTGACATTACCATATATATACATACGGGTTCTGATCGATTACCGTATTTATTCGATTAAGCGCCCAACCTCGAATTAGCGCCCACCTCGAGTAAGCGCCCATCCTAAAGGCAGAAAAAGTTAATAAGCGCCCAGCCTCGAATAATCGCCCACCCCACCCCACTCCCTTCCACAAAAACTCCTATTCTCTATTTTCGAATTCCCCATAATACACTCTGTTTGCCCCCCAAATTTTGCATAAACCATTGTTTTTAATTGCTCCTGGGAGTATTGCATTTTCCCAAGAGCATTTTAACACAATAAGTTATGCAAAATTTGGGGGGCAAACAGAGTGTATTATGGGGAATTCGAAAATAGTCAATAAGAGATAATAAGAGACCCTCCCTAAGATGGAGTTTCCTTCAGAGTACTTTACAGAAACCTTGCTTTGTTACATCTTCGCTTTTTGTAATTAGCATTTACTGTTTTGTTGCAAAATATACTACTACACTTGCTGAGAATGGTGAAAATTTAATAAGCGCCCAGCCTCGCATAAACGCCCACCTCGAATAAGCGCCCACTCTCAAGGTCAAAAAATTTAATAAGCGCCCAGGGTGGTTAATCGAATAAATACGGTATGTGCGTTTTATATTTTTGTAAATTGCTCCTACAATATCATTCTTAGGAGAATCGGGCGAAGTTTCATACTGTATATAATTTCAACTCTTATCTTAGTACATTACACGACCCCTCAGCATTATTAATTTAACTTTTTAAATACAGATTTGATGTTAACGATGAAGTTGAAATCATCCCGAAATACCGGAAATAACTTTTTGCGGAAATGACGTACGAAATTTTGTTCGACTCATTCCCATGCCTCCTCCTTGAACACCTGCGAAAATCGCCTGATCCTTTTCCACTTTGGCTTCACGGAAGACAAAAACAGCAAGACATGTATGTGAAAATGTCTCCATGATCCGGGTGTCTTTGCCGCCGATTTTTCATCTCTTATAGTTTTAATGTCATTTAAGATTTCACATGTACTTATTCACCTTTTATTTCTGCTGTAGGTCGAAAGTAACCTTCAAAATAACGCTGACTTCCGATCCGAAATTACCTTTCAAAGTGTACGTGTATTTATTTTCTTCTGCCGGCAAAGAAGAAAGTCTTTCGTATATAATGGCTTAAGACCCTTAAATCGTCGCTAATATTTGTCTTCAATTGTTACATTTTAGCCTCAGTGTCCCAGAGGCAACGCCATTTACAGCAGTGTTAAAATTTGCAGCAGAAGAAGTAAGTTTTATGTTTAGTTAAGATATCGTAACTGAGGCAAATGTGAAGCTAAATACTGAATTCTACAGCTGTTATATGTAGACGAGGACATCGATCTCATGTTGACAAATATATACTTTTGTAATATCCCTTACAGTTTAAAGTACCTCCGGCTACCAGCGCGATAATCACAAACGGTGAGTTAAGCTTTTTAAGAATCCTTCGATTTCTGGTACAAAATATTTAACTCATCTGGCCCCCATCATTCTTCCCCTTTATATAAGCTTAAGCTTAATTTAAGTTTCGAAAAGAGGTTGATTCCTTATTTTCAAGTCAATATTGAATTTTTTTATTGTAGAGTTATTATTTTAATGTGCCTTATCTCTTAACAGTCATTCTCTTTTATTTATATTTGAACGGTTTCGATTATAAAGTGTTCGAAGGTGTACATTTAAATATTTTTCTTTTAAGCACAAATTTAACTTATTGTCTGTGATCTCAATGTTCCAGATGGTATTGGAATAAATCCATCACAAACTGCAGGTAAATAGTACAAATATTCCATGATATTTTTTACTTTAAAAAGAGAAAAGAACTTCTATAGAAATCAACTAGTAATAATTCACAAGAAAATCGACAAAAGGTTTTGAGTTAGGTTAGTAACTGTATGGTAGAAGTAAAAAAAGATAGCAAATGCAAGTAGCTTGTCTACTCATGTTGAAAGTGACTGTTTATCATTAATGTGATGTCAAGAGTTATGTATAAAACAATAATGAAGGATCTAGTTATCAAGAATTTTCTGAATGGGGTATATGTACAAAACATGGACCACCCCTGTGGACCTAGTCCGTGGACCCCTTCGTAGACCTGGTCCATGGCCTAGCCCTGTGGACCACCCCTAATTTTTGAAGATGAATTTTACTAGAGGTGGCTAGGAACCTTAGTTGAACAAAACTGCGGTCAGTTTGTTTTATCACCATTTTCAGCTGTCACTTTTTCAACCAAAGCAGCTGCCAGAATAATGGGAAAAATTTGATTCATTTGGTTGACAACTTATGGTTTGTTTGTTTCCCAGGAAATGTTTTCTTAAAGCATGGTTCAGAACTGAGACTTATTCCACGAGACAGAGTTGGAAGTTGGCTTATAACATGAATCACAAACTGGATTTAAATTTGTTAATAAATGGTGTACTTATATCCAAATTTGTGTGTAAAAATGTCTCTGTACAGTTAAAGCACCACTCCATTCGTTTGATCAAGTTATTACTTTCAATAAACAGAAGGGAGTTGGTCACTGAGGTGGAATTGGAAGTCACTATTACCAATAATAACCTACTGTTCCAATGACCTTCTGTCTCTAAACAACAGGATAATACTTGAGCTCCTCCACCTTCTTAAAAATAATAGTCTCATGCCTCCCACGCAGGCGTTTTTAGGGGAGCTCGTTTTTCATCCCTCCCCACAAACGCCTGCTCAACGAAAAAAAAACATTCCTTTCCCATTGTTTTATTTGCGTGGTAAGTGACCAATCAACAATAAAGTGCAATAAAGTGTTGACAGGCTGAACACGACTGAACGCGACCCTAGAGTTACCGTTTTCCTTCTTTTCTTTCCTTCGCTAAAGTTATGCAGTGCATGGTGTATTGTAAATTTTGATTAAATCTTATTTTTGCCGCTCTGAATCTAACATTTATTAGAGGTCAGAAAGCTTTCCCAGTGTTTCATGCAGATCGATTAATTATCAGATTACCTTGCGGTCAAGGTCAACTTTCCAGAATTTGGAAAGTACAATGTGACTGGCTAAGCTTGGGAAAGGAATGTTGTCTTCGGTTGAGCAGGCGTTGGTGGGGAGGGATGAAAAATGAGCACCCCTAAAAACGCCTGAGTGGGAGGCTGTGCACTTGGTTGTTATTTTTAAGAAGGCTTTGGAGCTCAGGTGTTATCCTTTATGTAAGAAAGGCCCTCTTAGGTTGGGGAGGGGGAGGGGGTGGGTTATATAATTATGTTCCTGTTTCACATATTGAGGAGAAGGCCATGTCCCTGTCGGTATTTAACTCATCTTTTTGTCATTTGTTGCCATTTCATCTAAAGGAGTCTTATGTCGCTGCTTCAAGGCCATGTCGCTTTTCAGAATTTTACCCTAAAGGGGCATCATAAGAGTACTTAATCCCAGAAGGATGCATCGTTTTTAACCCCTCTTCAGGGTCAGTTTTCTGACCATGACCGTAATGCTTGGTCATTCAGAGAGATCATGAGATATTTAACCATAACATCTCACAGAGTGAAATGAAATTTTTGGTAATGTCTTGCCACCCCTTAGACTGGTGTACATGTACAGTTCAACGAAAACAAAGGTGAAGGACAAAAATGATGATAATGAAATGATAGAAATAAGTGCAAGGATAAGATTAATATCATCACTAAGGGAAATCCTATTCAGTGAACAAAGTTCTTGGTGCTTTAAAATGCTCTGCACTAGAGATACATGTCAGTAAGGCCCTGTTTACAAATGGTAACCTTGGTGCAAGGGTTACCCCAGCAAGAGGATTACCCTGGAACTTGCATATTTCTTTTTTTGTTATGGAATGTGTTTTCAAAGCAGGTAGGGTTACCCTGGCACTAGAGTAACCCTAGCGGGAGGGTTACCCTACCTGCCTTGTTAAGGCTCTGCTAGGGATAACTTGTCTACCTGGGATAACATTGCTCTATCATTAAGCACACACCCACAGAAGCATAAACTTTAAATTTTAACTTAACTTTTGGTTAAGGCTTCCCCATCATCAATTTTTTATTTTTTCGGATTTCTTTGCATTAACCAAAATAGATTCATCATTATTCTAAAATATTTTAGTGTTGATAACCCTTTGGATACAACCTTTATTAAATTAAACTGTCCTACACTTTGATTGTCAAAACCCACAGTCCATCGAAAGTGGTGAATAAGCATGATGTAAGTCTTCATATACCTTGAATAATTCAAAATTACTCAACTATTGGCCAACTGCCAGTCAAGTGTTGGTCTACCATCAGCAAAGAGTTTTTTTTCTCTATCATTTACTCTGGAAAGGAAGGAAATAAATCACTAACAACCAAACAATGAAAACGAGATTTTATTTCTTTGAAACACATATTAATAGTAAACTGACAGAAATTACTTTCACATCCATGTGACGAGAAGGCTGCATCTGCTACTTGTACTTTAATGTTTGTTTTCAGTTGTATTAAATACCGAAAAAAAAATGCATTTCAATGTGACCTAAAAGCCTGTTTCAAATTTCATCTGTATTGCCAAATAAACATTTGTTTGTGAAATTGTTTTTTAAATACTGTTCAGTTATTAATTGGTTTATTCATCCAGAATTTCTCTCCAGCACACACCATTCTTAAAGAATCTATCACCCACGTAGATATTAATAATTCATTGTAAAATGTACACTTAATATCTTCATTTGAGAAACATTCTATAAATTAATACAATTTAAGACCCAGATAGGAAACTGAATGCAGTTTGAAATTGCTTCTTATTTATATACAATCATATTTAAAGTATATAAAAATATTGTCAAACTAACGCTGCAAGTATTAACCTGTTCCAGACTCCATGGTAGCATGTATAATGACTGTGAAAGGGATTGGCCCTATAGTATTTTTGCTTGACCTTGGTTTTATGATGTCTCGACTATCAGAAAGCCTGGAAAAGGCTAGGATTGAATTAAATTTACAATTTATGCATAAATGACATGAGACATTGTTGAGGGTTTGAAAATATCCAATGCTGTTTTCCTTCAGTCATCCTGAAACAAAAATTACAGAAAAATAAGATACAATCAAACCTCAGTGTGCCACCGACCACCTCCCATAAACAACCACCTCCCAGCAGCAAGGGTGGCATAGTTGGTTAGTGCAAGGCCTTCAGTGCGGTAGTTCCCGAGGTTGATTCCCAGTGACATCCCATCCTTGTTTCAACTTCTCTCCTTACAGTGTAGTTTTGCCTAGCTTTAAATTCCCTTAAAATGGAGCATTGATGGAGAGAAGGGGATAAAATGAGCACACCATCAACCTCAACAAACTTATCAGTTATCACTGTCACACAAGTTATCAACATAAAATATGGTTGCTTTACCTTTACCTCCCATCACCACCCTTCTATCTGAAACGCCAAAATTTTCCTACTCAAAGCCCTTTCATAAAAGCTCGTAAATGACCAAATCTCATAAGCAACCACAACCACTTTTGGATTGATAGTTCTATACTTTTTAATTATTCTAAACCTCTAATAAGCAATCACTTGACGCATGGTATGGTCTCTTTGTTTGCTGTGTGTACTACACCACTTAGAGTGTACAAACGTGGAACTACATGTGTAAGTAACTTTATTGCATGCAATTAATACTCTGCAAGAAAGTTGATGTCCTGGACCTTCTCTTGCATGAGACCCCTGTGGCTGATTCTTGTGAAAGACCACCTCCTCTAAGTGACCGCTAGATCTTCGCATTTTGGGTGGTCGCTTATGGGAAGTTTGACTGTATCACATATACTTAAGACCCTGCTGTATCTGAACCCTTTAAGCCCCAAGATCCACATACAAATTCTCCAGACTGATCTTCATACATTGCTTTTAAGAATAGTTGAGAGAATTTAGTTTAAGATCAAAGTGTTCTCCCTTTGGTAATCAATTTAGTAATTCTCATAACCTTTACACTTGATGATCTGCTGATGCTGTTAGGAGAAAATCGATGTTGGTCACTCTTAGGACCCAAAGGGTTTTAACCGGAGAAGTTTCCTGTAGTGTCTAACTGCCTCCAATGCAAGCTACTCCCAAAATCTCTAAGTTTTACAGTTTTTACAAATTTTTTCTCCTGCCAAAATATAGAATAGGTTTCTGAATGAAGCATACTTCATGGTTTATCCAGAAATAAATGAGAACAAATATGCCACCAATCGAATGTCAGTAATAATACCACCAAAAAAACAAAAAATCGTACAGTTCAACTATGTCCCGAGGAGAAATCCTGTTTTTGTTGAGACCAAAATTTCACATCCATCTACACCCCTGGTCTTAAAAGTTAACAGGACTTTTTGCATACCCATTCATCATCGTCTACTCCTTCTTGAAGATCCTGTGGAAGAGGGTCATCATCGAAATTTCTTAATTTCTCAACCATGGAATTCAAGAGCTGCAAAGTAATCAGACAATACACTGAAGACCAAATAAAAAACACAATAATGAATTGCTGGTTGTTAATAAGAAACTTGGCTTGCAAGGGTTGGTGTAGCCTGTGAATGAAGACGTATCTAAAGTTGGCACTTCTCTTACTTTTCAGGTGGAGAGAAGAGACCATCGGAAATAAATCTGTGTTCGCAGGCTAGGGTTGGTGCAGTATTTATTATATTTCACTTCCTAAGTAGTGACATGTCATCAGTATGGAATTTCTGCAGTCTTTCGTCAGACATTTTTTCACAAGGAAACCAGTTGTGGCATTGTAAAAAAGTCAGCTACTTTCTCAGGCTACCTTGGCATAGGGTTATCACCCTGCCCTAGAAAAAAACCAGGTTACAACAGAGCGCCACCCCCTAGCCCCAGAACATCTCAACCTTAATGATAAAATATTTATTTTATCATTAATAGTATTTTCCAGTGCAAACAAGACTTGGTTTTAGATGATAAGTTGCATGCAGGCACGCGTTACCTCCTCTTTCTGTTGTTCAGTGGTTTTGACTTCTACAAGCTCATGTCTGCTGTCATACTTTCTTGCAATGGGTGCTGCTTTAGGTGCTTCACTTACTGTTAACACAACAACACCAAAAATTCAAGCCATTTCGTTTTATATCCACACCACCACTTTAGATGAGATTCTCTAAAGAGGTTGTGAAAGGGATTCATTTCCCAATTGATGGTGAACTAAGGCTGATTGCTGAAAATTAGTTGCACCCTGTACATATGATTGGGATGGTTTTGCTGAACATCCGTATGCATCAAGACATGTTTTGCATTTCATGTGGTTGTTGGTAGAAATATAAATTAACCATGAAAATTCATAAAGCCATTTGGACTTGAAGACACTCTCTTTGGGTCCAAAAATCTCAGAAGGGTCTACATCAGTTTTTTTTCCTGCTCAATAGACAATGTAAGTGTTGGCTTCATCCTTGAGGGCCGGAAAACGTTACATAGTGTTTTCTGTGTGGACATTATTCCCTGAGTAGACAATATGGCGGGTCGATAAAACACATGGGGATTTCCAAAATGGTTGCAAAGATGCATGAGTAGTACCAATCCTTGTGCATCCCTGAGACTCTTGGGCTCATGAGAAGCATGTGGCCTTTTAGATTTTTGTGCGTAAAATCACACGTGTGCATTAATGGGAACCCTGTTAAGCCATTAACTCTTAGTTTGATAATATTCATTTTGTCCAGGCAAGGTTTTGAAATAACGTAAAGCTTACATGGCTTCATGTCAGCTGGTCTAAGTGACAACCTTTTCTGTGCACCATTTTTACCAGCAAACCACTGATCACTAGCCAATGCAGGCTCCCACCATACTCTTGTATCTGGGAAAAGGTCATCCTGGAAGTACTCCATCTGTTTACATAAAAGGCAGATAATACATATCAGTATCAGTATGTCAAAAGAATAAATTTATTAAATTGAAACAAACCTTCACTCGAGGAACCTGGAATGAGAGGAGTTCTATGAATGTTTTGTTCAGTTTGACAGCCCTGGCAAATTCTACCTCTTTGACATTGCATACAATCTTTGGTAGAAAGCCCACCGCCTGCAAAGAATTGAGCATTGACAGAATTAACCATACATTTCACCCTACTGACACTATTTGCTTGTATGTCACTACTTAAAATAATGACTAACAAGATATAGTTAGCTAATTCTGGTATGTCATAGAGCTGCTGACCAAAAGGTCCAGCTTTGAAGCCTTAGGTATGCCATTACATTGTTTCCATGGACGAAAAAAAAAACTTTACTATCTTCCAGCACACACATGTAACAATAGATACCAGAGCAACCAATAATATCATTACCACGGTTAACCCCACTATGGGACTAGCATCCTGTCCATGGTGGGGTGGGGGGAGAAGAGTATGGTTAGTATCAACTATCTCATGGCGGTTCCTTTTCCTTTAGTTTAAAAACAGAGTCTTAGAGATCCAAGTTATAAAGACGTATGTCATATGTTAGTATATTTATGACTAATAAGATACACCATTACGTCACTGTTATGTTATGTTACCTGGTAAGGTTCCTTTGTCCTGTAGTGCGACAGTTCAAAGATATGAGGCGCTTCCTCACTTATTTCATAAGCAAAAATAGTTGTTTCACCCTAAAAAAATCACAATCAGAATCATTAATCTCTGAAAATAATTATGAAGAAGTACATTTTTAGAAAACTGTTGATAAAAAAAAAACCCAGGGGTTCCAGTTTTAAAATGACAAAAAATGCTTATTGCACCTCAACCTTCTATAGTGTAAAATTAGTGGGTTGATCACTTAAGGTTAATTTGGCTGTTTTAGAATTGAAATATAAAATTTCAGTTAGGTTGAAATGCCAAGAAAAGAAATTTTGGTACTTCATTGCTATTTTCTATTTATATTTTTTTATTAGCTCCTATCATTTAGAGGGTTCCACTTTTAAGCACAAAGTCATGATAAAAGCACCTAGCTAGTCCTTGTATCTATCCTAGGCTTTGAATCTTTCAGCCAAATATATTACAACATTGTGGGAAAACTTAACAAAAAATGATAACATAAAAAACAGTGAAGATGTGCCAACATATACAGTTGTCCCCTCGTCTGGGTTTAAAGTATTAATTTTTTGTCATGTCACAGCTTTTTATACAAATTCCTCGGTATTAAAACGCATGGTGTATGCTAGCAATCTCTGAATATTTCCTTGTATTTAAAGTATTATTTTTCATACCTTTGAAAAGAAAAACAAGACAGCAGAATCTTCATCGTAAAATGGAATTAATGTAGAGGGAGAAACAGTGGACTCCAAAGTTGACAAGGCTTCAGATAAGTTACAACTATCGTATACACTGATGATACGGTTACTCATCCTAGTAAACAAAAAAAAACAAGTTTTTTCCTGAAATGTGGTCTGTTAATTACCAGGTAAAAATACTATTCCTGTCACATAATATGTCATGTCTTGTCCAGCGCAAGTTAGAGGGAAATTTTTCTTTCTTCTCATTATTCTTGCTTAAAGCTCACTAAAGGTCACTGAAGTTAATGTAAGGTTAAACTAGAGTTAATCTTGTTGCAATTGCCTTCCAGGTAGCTGATATGCAAAATGCCTCGCTCTGAAAGTGAAAATCCTTCCTGCCACACCAGGCAAATGATGGCAAAAACAAAAAAAAAAAAACTACTAAAATAATAAAAAGAAGGAATTTTTTTCTGGCCAAACAAACACAGGTTTATAACAATTTATTGGATCATAGCAATTGGATGTTGGCAAAAAGGTGAACCTTACAAGTTGACCCCAATTTCCTCTTGGGGTTTATTGATGGTCACAAAATTGGGCATTGATGATTTCCAAACAAGGATGTTTGTAAATGCATATATTTGTAATATTATTTTATTACAGACGTAAACACAGAGGCCTATAATATCAGTGTACAAACCTAGACAGTCTTATGTGGATATATGGTCCAAACAAAAAAGAGCATAAGCACTACAAGTTACCTGCCAAACCCGGAGACAATCAACCAGTTCCCTTCAGGACCCCCCCAAACAACACGCGCTCCACGGCTGCCAGCAGGACCAGGGCCTGTCTGAGACAATTCAAAGCAGGTGAAACTTTGTAAAAGATTGATGAATGAAGGTTCATGGTCGAGATAAATTAGCCTTTAGTTTACTTCATACAGTCAAACCTCCATTAGGGGCCCCCTATCAAGTGGCCAGCCACCCTCTATTAAGCAGCCAGTAATCAAGGTTCCAAAATAATAATTGTGGAAAAGAAGGGAAAATTAAACTTCTATTAAGCAGCGAAGGCCACCTTTTGGCCGTCCCAACCAGAGTTCTCCCATTGTTGTCACATACATCAAACGTTCGATACAAATAGTTTGGCTTCATTTTAAGAATATGATGAAGGAAAATACCGTCTGAGAAAGAAGGTGACGACCAGTTGTGGTGGAACAGTAATGCTTCTTCTGTTGTGCATTTGTTTAAAAAAAAAGTAATGTTACTGCTAAAGATTATGCTGATTTATGATGCACCTCTATTAAATGGGCAACCTCCACTAAGCGGACACTTGCCCGTACCTCAAGGGTGGTCTGCACTTAATGGTTGCTGCAACAAGCTGAGCATTTATCAAGTCATCTAAACTGAGTTATTTATCTTTTTCCTGTGTGTTACTTTGACAAAGTTTCACAGAATGTTTCCTTTCCATAAAAGGACAGGAAGAGTGAAATTTGCAGCAGGTTTGGAAGAAATACATGGGAAAAAAACCAGATCACTGGAAGGGATCTGTGAGAATTCTACAGGGGGCAGATAAGGACATCGAGGGGGTAAATTGCAATTCAAATAAAGAATTGCTTGACACAAAAAGCAAGTCTTTCAGCCCAATGCTTTGAAAGAAAAGACGAAAAAAATACATCACATTGTTATTTGATACCTGTATAGGAGAAACTTGTGATCTTGGATCATATACTCTAACTTTGCTGTCTTTGGAGATGGTAGCCAGTCGAGTTCCATCAGATTTCCAGGCCATGCTTAACACCTAAAGCCAAGCAAAACAAATGAATTCTCAAAGCTTTAAGTTTACTTATTTATTAATAACTAACAATGATGTAAATGCTTAAACTATACACCCAGGGCGCTTTTCAATGTCGAAAGAGGGTAGTGATTTGCAGGGGCCGGGGCACTTATTTCCTTTCTCCATATTTCAACCTAAGAACAACAGCAAAGGGCATTTTTGAGTGATGAACAGGAACCAGAGGTGCGTTGGTTGCATTCTTGGGCAATGGTTTTGCCCAATTTTCGGGCAATTTGTCTCTGCAAGAGTAGACACACTTTCAATCAAATATGGTGATTGTGGTATAAAGTCAACTCTTTCTGAGACAGACACCTTAGGGACCTGAAGTATGTGTCTGTCTTATGTGGAGTCAAATAAAGAAACTAAAGAAAGGCAGGGACCAACTCTGAGTGTCCGTTTCACAGAGGTGTCCATCTTATAGAGGTGTCCGTTAAGAAAGAGTAGACTGTAGTGTCAAGGGGAAAGACCTCACTTCTGGTCATCCTTCATCATTCAAGGATAACTTTGTTCAAGTTTATGATTGTAAATTGATTCAGTAATAGTAAATCAGAAAAAAAAAAACAGAATAATTATATTTATTTCAAGAGAAAAATGAAATAAGCAATAGCAAGAACAAACCCGTACCTCTGCTCTGAAGGTTTCAAAGAAAAATCACCACTGATTTCCCAGAGAAACGACATCTGAGAAACAAGTGCAAAAATTCTATACTGATGTCCCATCGCTACCCAGATCTGGGTAGTACTTCTGATTGATTGAAGCAAATTTCCCATGAGACACGACCAGTTAGAAGCACTGTGCTTGTTTCTCAGATGTCATTTTGCATGGAAACCAGTAGTGGCATCGCGAAATGTCGGCTGTTTTCTTGGAGCACACAAGACTTGACTTTTGACTTTCTAACCTGCTCACTGTGGCCTGTGAGAGTGATCAGAGCTTTTCCTTGGTTGATATCCCATATTTTGACTGTCAAATCCAAAGATGAAGATGCCAGTACTCCACTAGCCACTGGATGGTACTTGACCAGGTTTGGTTTGTCATTATGCCCTGGAAAGGAAAGAATTGTCAAATTGAGATGCATAACCACTCATGTTATTAGAAGGATATTTGCTAGACTTAAGATCTCTTTTTATCCTGAATTTGGCAAGGAACAGGTTAATGAAGACAGAAACTTGACATCAGTCGAGGTAGGCATGTTTTAGCTACTTTTTACACTGAGAATTATTTGAAATGAATAATAAAACAATAATAATATTTTTATTTGATTCACCTTTCATTTGATCTGAGAAATTATGCAGATCTCAGAGGTTGTTATCATCTCAAAGGTTGTTGTCATCTGCTGATGAACTGAAGAAACAAAATGCAGTAACTTGCAGAAGTAAGACTTTTTGACTAACCTTTCAACACCACTAAAGGGGAGGTTATAGTCTCAGTCAGGCCTCCATCAGGAATCTCCCAAATACTAACAAAACCACTTTCACAAGCTGGAAAAAAAAGTGAGATCAAAAAAGTACAATTTTCTTTTGTATGTATCCTTATGAATACATTTCTTTGCCAACTTCTCTACACAACTATAATCAAATGTAAAATTTCCTGATGTGATGTTTTAAAGACAACATGGACCCTCGTTAATGAATATTGTCCTTTTTCTTCTTGAATGGGGTACCAGACAATCAGGACAATAATCACGAACATGAGCCTGTTTAAAGCCAGGTTTCCATTATTATGATCGCTACGATTGCTGAAAAAAAAGTTCAGCGATCATAATTTTGAAACCACTCTCCAGCAATCGTAGCAATCACAATGACAATGATCGCTGAAATGAGAAACATTTCTATCTCAAAAATCACAGCAATCGCTGGAGAGTGGTTTCCATATGATCAATATGATAGCTGAACTTTTTTTTTCTTCAATGATTGCAGCGATCATAGCAATCATACAAAAACCAGGCTTTAGGAAGCATGATTATAATGACAGTCAAGTTTAAGAGAACTGTGAATTCAGTGTAACAGTGATATTTTTATTGCCATCAACAGTATGGTTTTTAACAGTGATGTATAAGCGCTATATAAATTCCATTATTACAAAATTACATTATCATATTTATGGTTGTAAAAGTACTGAAAGATAAGCTACAATCCTGTAGGTCCTGGGACACTTCCCTTGTTTCACTTGTTTTTGTATAGAATTTCTACCTAACTGACAACACAGCCACAAAAAGGTGTCTCCCCCACCCCGAAAAAATTTAAGGTCACAGCACCCAACACTGTAAAGGGAAGTAACTTGAACTGCATTACCCACAAATGAAAGACAAAGGTTTTTTACCAATTTTTACAAAAAGTTACCAGAAAATCCAGTTGGAAAGTAAAATGGAACATAACTTTTTGGGTGGCTCCAGTGGAAAATTTTTGGAAGAAATGGAACATGTGAAAAGGTAGTCCTGTTTTCTCAGTCGGAATGTTTCATATGGAATTTCGTGTTCCAATTCTTTGACGCCATCTTTGATACCAGTCTTAGGCCTTTGCAGCCACTTTTTAAGTAGATGGAACAAATGGTAAACACAATAATATTCCGGAATGAAATTTACCAGTCCTGAATTTTGCGTACCATTTGCCCAAACCATGAAGCAACTGGTTTGCCCATGTAAATAGTAAACAACCAAAGTGTTCCAAATCTTCTGACCTATACTCACCTGCTGCAAGTTGCTGCCTATTAAATGGATCCATGGCAAAATCAAGAACACCACTTCCACACTGAATGGCTGGTAATCCTGAGTCAGGCAGGCGACAAGGTTTGTTAAGCTTGAAAAAGAATGCAAGGGAACTAACCATCAGAAAAGGGGATGTAAAATTTTAAACTGTGTCAGTGATTTTGTTATCTCTGTGTCCTGCGTCCCTGACGCACAAAAATCCACAAAGAAATGGCAAGCTGTAAAACTGACTTTCTTTGCACCCCAGAAGGGTACTCCAGATTCAAGTGACGACAGGGATGATTGAATGGGGGCAAAAATCAAAACCCAGAAAAATCCCTAGGGCTTCCAACAAACCCCCCCAAAATACCTAGACCAAAAACTTACCCCAAAAAAGTCCTTAGTAACAGAATGCATTAAATATTAAAACAGCCGCAAAACAACTTTGGTTTTACTTTATTCCTACATGGCCAGGATACACTGGCACTACCACGAAACGTCACATTGTTTTGAATACCCCAAAAATTCACTACTTAATTAAGCCACCCCCCCAAAAATACTTGCCAAATTTTCCTTTCCAAAAAAATCTCGGAATCAAAAATTCGAAACGCCAAAAATCCTCTGATCATCCCTGACACTTAAAATATAGAGTACCCCTCCTGGGTTTTGCACTCTGATCATGATGAACAAACACTCACTGGCACCACTGCTATCTGTCCTCCAGGTCCTGATAAAGGATATGCAACAAACTTTTGATTGACTTGAAACGCATCACTGTCTCCAGGCAAAGAAATGCTCAAGTTACGTACATTCTCAATGTTGTTGCTTTTGTGCATGGGTGTGCCCTGGAGATGTCTAAACTTTGATGTACGTACACCTGTGAAAGCTTTTATTGGTTTTGCTGAAGATTCTTGCACAGGATCACTGACTGCATGGGTAGCCTGTGCTGTGGGAGCTTCATCTTTGCATTCAACTGCTGACTAAATGAATGTAGGCAAGTTACTAGCAAACTGCACAGTACAAAAAATTTACCTTTGTATAAGGCCCTTGTTAAGTTTACTCTTTATTATTATTGACACCTTTCAGGGGGGTAGGTAAGCTGTGGCTTTATCGGCCATTTCTGAGCTCTCTGTCACCTTGTATGTCACGAAAAATGTCACTGTTGCATTTTAGTTAAGGAGAAAATGTTGCTGTGGGTTCCACATACATTTTTGTGATACTGAATTTTGGAATTTATCTGGAATTCTTTCCTCATTGTCTGTTGATTATATGTGCTTTCTGAGACGATTGACACAAGTTTTCAGGGCCAGCTCACCTGTCACGTCCACTCCTTGGAAGGCCTCATTATTAGGGTGGGTTTTTGTTTATGATTTTTTTTCCATTCTGTCATTTCATAACCCAGGAAGAAGGTTGTTTGCAGGTGATCAAGGACACCCCCTTCTGATATACAATACCGGTATTTACCTTTTCAGCAGACACAGCTGTTTTCTTTGATTCTATCGCAGGTTTTGCCTTCAGATCTGGTTTTTTTGGTTTTGTCTCTGATGGTTTTTGCTTTGCATGTCGCTTAGATGGATCCAGAGACACCTTTTTCATCTGAATTTGTAAAAAACAACACATCTAAGTGATCAAGTAGTCAGTTTCTTGTTTCAGTCAAACCGGGAAAACCGTGAACACGAGAAATATTTCTGGAATGTTATTGCGTTGCAAGAAAAAAGATAATCAGGCATGAGAAAACTAAACTGCAATCAAGAACGTTAATTAGTTTGTGGTTTTGTGGCTTGCTTGCATGTCCTAATCTCTGCTGTGATTGGTCTTAACACAATAAACATTCATGAAATATTTCAAAGTGTTTGACAAAAAAAAGTACCCCGGTATTTTTCCCAGTTTGACTGTAAAATAGTAGAACCAAAAGAAATCCCTTCTACCCCTATTTAACAGAGCTGTCATTATTTATGGAATGACCGGGTCGGGAAAAAAACACCCATTTTTTTCTTGAACAAAGAGACCGGGCTTTAAAAAAAAATGAACATGAACTAAAACTGGAGATTTTTTGATGCCGAAAAATTCACCCGGTAAATTGTCGCACTTTCATATCAAATAAATATTGCTACAATATTAAATATTGTTTTTTGAAGTAATGCAGGGATATACCCGCAAGAAATAGCTCGAGTGGTTTTCTGGTCACTGTTGTAATCAAATTAGAATTTCAAATGATGCATGGACAAGGATTTTAATCAAAGTGAACTCCATAAAGAATCTAAAACTTACACAAGAAAACAAATGTTTTGATCCTCAAGTTGCAACTGCTAGTGAATTGAAAATATTTTTTCTGCACGCACAGGGTTTCATGCAAAAATAGGTTTACATTCTTATCTGTCTCTCGAAATAAACTTTTATTATCTAAAAAGGTGAACAATTTTTGTATCTTGTAAATTGGTGGCCTTCTGATCCAGATGCAAAACATCAACAATGATAAAGCTAATCAGAATCTTCGTCTGAAGCATGGGATTCCTTAAAAAAAGCAAAAATTTCAGCGGTTGCAAGTCAGAAAGATATATTTAGGACTTTTTCACTTATTTGGCAAACGGTTTAAAATGTTAATAAATTATTGACACCCCCTTCTCTGCACACCCTCTAACTATAAGTTACATCCACCTACTCTCCACACCTAACATTGTAGTGCTATAGCTTACACTGTTATATTTAGGTAACATGACTTACAGGGGTATCAGATCCGCCAAACCACTCCTCAGCTGTCATGGAAGCTTCTCGTGCCACTGTGTCGGGAAACAAGTCTCCATGAAAGTCCCTGTAAGACTATCAAATGAAACTAAATGAGTAACTGTTAACAAAGCCATCTTTTAACCGGGGTGGGGGAGGGTGGCAGTCTCAACATCTCACTTTGTATTCATTCTTCTCCAAAGTGCAAAACAAAATCAACAATCGATGTGTGCACAGACTCTTAGTTGCTGGAATTAAGAGAAAAATGTACTTCATAATTCTGCCTAACAGATGAATGTCAATCAAGAGGATGTCTATTTGTGTTCATTAGACAAGTACTATCTTTCTGCTATCCTGTTGCGTAAACTCACTATTTACAGGCCCTTTAATTTAACATTTTATAACAATTGGATAGTTCAAAGGTTTTCTGTACACTGAAGAATGGTTAAACACCCGAAATATCTACTTCTTTAAAGACATTTTAAATGTCTTTGAATTTTTGTTACGATTTTATCATTCTATAGGCAATCTTACTGCAAGTGCCATGCATCACAAACCATTTTTCCATTCAACAAGCATTAACTATATTTATATTGGAATTTCTTTTGTAGCCTGGGGGGTACTCAACTAAGTTTAATATGGCAAGGCTCCGCCCAAAGGTCCAACCCTTTACCCTTTTATATAACATTTTTCACAGAAAAGGTACCCCTTTCATATACCTCCATTGAAAAATGGTACCCCTTTCACATACCTAGTTGAGAACTTTGCATCTCTTTTAACTGATATAAATGCACTGTCTTTTAAATATGAATCAATCACAAATTCAGAACATTTCTTCGACTTTTCACAGCCATTAAGTGCATTGTTAGCCCTTTTGGGTTTTTCAGAGACAGATTTCCCTACCTTTCATATCCTTCAACTTGTGAAATCCCTTCCCTTATATATACCTGAAGCCTGGAAAAGGTACCCCTTTCAATAGACTATTAAAGGAAGTACCCCCACCTCCTGAGTGGTAGAGAGTCTACAGAAAGAAAGAGTGACCATCTTAACTTCTTAGAGTGGATTTATTCATTCCTTACCCTGCGAGGCACACAGTAACTCAGTGGAACGACAGATGATTTGGTGAGCTGAAGAAGCCGCACTACCTCACAGGACATGACATCCAAGGCAAGTTTAGGAACAGTAGCCATTCCTTTGTGCTGCTCTTCTAAAATCTGCGAGTTGACTAAATAAGATTAACAAAGCAGCTGCATTAGTGTTGCGCTTATCCAAGGGCAAGGCAACTTTGGATATTTGTTTGATTGTAAGTTTCTCCTGGTAGATATTGGTAAAGTTTTGTTCTTCTGCCAACAAGCTCCCGCAAAACTCGAATGCTTCTCCTTCTGAAGAATAATATTCCATGAATATTGACTGTTTTTCTTATAGATTCATTGCATTTACATTTGACCTTTGGGGCCTTTTGTCCTCTGTCTGTCATATAAATACTATATTGACCAATTACAGCTCCTGAGCAGATTCTAGACAGATTTTACGTCATCATGAGGTGCACACATCTTTCGTGACGAAACCTCCCTAGCAGCGAGGATAGATAGCTGTTTTTGCAGGCTAACAGCCATCAAAAGAATAGAACAAACATGAATAACTGCACATGACTTTGGTTTTTACAGCACTGATGGTAGGTATAAGATGATAAAAATGATTACCTGGTGTAATGAAAGATGTAGCAGTTTCAGAGACTTCTAAGTACTGAATAAAAGAATCACCCTGTTGCATAACAAACAGAAATAAAAAAGCTCCATAACTAAACTGATAACAATAATGTTAATGTCGTAGTTCCTTTACCTAGACTTTGCAATACAGTGTAATAAAATAAGACAACAAACAGATGGCGTAATGGGGGGAACACCGCTCCGCGAACTTTCTATAAATGCTAATAACGTAAGTTGTGTACAAATTCAAACAGGAATCTAACGACTGATTTTGACGTAAACCTCATTAACCAAATGCCTCTCTTAAGTCGAAGGTGGGTACCTGTGATACCCATGTGTGCTTCCACTCTGGCCAGCCAGAGATAGAATAGACAGAATACTGCCCTTATGGCTGGTAAATCCCTGCTACCCAGCCATGATTCCCCATTCCAGGCACCCATAACACTGATGAAAGTGTGTGAACTCCACAGACCGCTACAAAAATGCTCAATAAAGAACTTGAAGATTGTTGTGAACAAAACTACCACATATCATGTGAGCCTGCACTTATGGGATAAACTGCTGGATGCTTGCTAAGCTCGTGAACCGCTTGACTGCTAAGCTCGTGGACCGCTTAACCACTAAGCTTGTGGACCGTTTGACCACTATAAAGCTTATGGACCGCTTGACTGCTGAGGTCGTGGTGGTTAACTTAGTTAAATTTCATTTAACCAAATTAAATTCAAAATTTAAGGCTTGTTTCCAATCATCCATGTTGCCATGGCAACAATCAAAATCTTACTTTAAAACCTAATAAATGTCATGTCTTATAAATACATTTTGTTCATGCCAAATTATTTTGAGCTTTGTACCTGCAACAAGTCTTAAATGACACCATAATGATTGGTTATGATCCACAGCCTATCAAACTGTGTCCAGCCACCTTAACAGTATAATTTATTATTACTCGGGTACCAATTAAACATTGTTTGAGTTAGTGACTAAACTGATTTATGTCAACTGGACTATGAATAAAAATAGGATCACAAGCAATGGGAAACGAATTAAGCAATTAACTTAATATTGTTTTATACCTTTCCTGCCAAAAACAGCATTTTGGTGTCTGGATCATAAAATGGCATCAGTATGCTGCATTTAAAAATGGATAAGTTATATTAATTACCTAATACGACACACAACATCATTTTTCTATGGAAATGCATTTCAAGGTTCGAAATTATGACTCACTGGTCACCAATTCAACTAAAATTGGAGTGCTGGTGACTACATCTTAAGAACTGGTCGCCAACTGGCGAGACACCTCATAAAACAGACGCTGAATTAACAAAAAAAGGAAACATAAGATGACAAGAGTAACATTAATATGAACAAACTGATGCTGAAGTTCAAGGATTTCTGAATAAAGTCAAGGGTAACTGTTACTATAATATTGTTCACGGATTTTACGAGTTCTACAGAAAACGACAAAAAAGGGCGCTGTCAGTGAACTAGCATTGTCCTCTGATATGGCTACCATAGGATACCTTGAAGCCAAAAACTCATAACCAAAAAGTTTGACTTGGTGACCAAAATTTTTTCTCTGGTCACCAGCTGACACCTGTATTAAATATTTAAATTCCTGCATTTATTTGAGTAGGAAAACAAAAATTGAATTTGAAGCATTATAAATTGAATGCTTTAATTCTATAATAATTTAATATTGCTTTACTTTAAAAGAGCATCAAAATCTTTCTTAATAATAAAGGAATCGCCTAACAAGCTATGCATTTCATTTCTACTTGTGAGAGTTCTAGATCTCTTAGGACATTATGATATACTTTTAACCTCCGACATCTTGACAATGTCATTGTTACGTTTAGCATGAAACAGACTAATAATCATTTAAAAATATTTTTCATTTACGTTATGCAGTACTTTTATCTTGAAGCCTTTATCCTAGCCTGAGAAGACAGCCAACAGTTTGTGATGCCAATACTGATTTTCTTGCAAAATGATGTCTGAGAAACAAGTGCAGAAATTCTATACAGATGACTCATCACTACCTAGATCTGGGTAGTGACGAGTCATCAGTATGGAATTTCTGCACTAGTTTCTTAGATGCCATTTTGTAGGGAAACCAGTGGTGGCATCACAAAATGTCAGCTGTTTTCTCAGGCTCCCTCCAGCCTTGCCTGTAGTCCTTAACCATATGATGCATCTAGGACTGGAGTATTGCTACTTCCCACATGGATGAATCAAATGCACTCCATCAAAGATTTACATTGATTAATTTGTCGCACATATCCATATTATACAACCCATTGGAAGAAGAAAATGTGGAGGAACATTTATGGTCATCACAGGGTTTAAGCCACCAATACTCTAAAGCCTTACAATTGTCAATCAAAAAACAATTCTACAAATTCTGCACCTACCCTCCAGATGATGAATCAAAGTTCAGTGTCTGCACTGGTTTGCTCATATTATGTACATCCCAAACTCTAACTTCACGCTTGTTAGACTGTAAAAACATTTAACATTTTTATTATTTATATTATTTACTTACCTACTTATTTATATCTACAGCACAGATTCACCAAACACTTGGCAGGGCTGCAAATATACAGTTTCCCATAATATAATGTTGATCTGGATACGAGGGCATTCATACAATACATGATAAAATACATTACTGTGTGTGGGGACTTATATAACCAAACATTTTGTAGTGAAGCTGTAGCAATGATGGATTTGAAAGGACCAAGTAAGTCACAAGCATTTGTTGACTATCTTGAAGAACATAAGAAGCATGCAAAGCAGAGAATCACTACACAAGAGCTAAAATGCAGGGCAAGAAGTATTAAGCAGGGCTTGAAAAAAATTGAATTCCATTTTCCTAGCCAGGGGTAACGTATTATTGGCTTGTCTTAGTTGATGATTTTGTTAGAGGATGAGTTGCCTTGATCCTTGCCTCTTGGGCAAGTAAGCCTCAAAAGTTACTCGCTCAGCAAGAAAATCAATTCTTTCTGAACTACTGGGCAGGACCATTTTCAAGCCCTTAATTAAGCAAATGATTTCACCAATTTGTCAAGGTATCATTTTTTTTTTCACAAAATAGCTGTGATCACTAAAGGGAGTGATCATTGACATCTCATTAAAGAGCTCAAGTCCCAGTTGAAAGAGGGTTTCACAGAAAGGGGCATAACTATAGGCTGGTTGCTTTTTAGGGAGGTGGCAAGGTGAGCTTCAACAGAATACCAACAAATTGAAGTTTTCTTCTTTATTCCTGTAGTGCATGAAAGTACTTATACCAAAACCTAGTCAAAAGGGAATCAAACACATAAGGGAGGTTTGGCTAGTTGTACAACTATTCTTACCGCAGTAAACCCAGAGCCAAGAATTCGGTCGGTATCTCCTAGCCACAACAGTCTAGTATCCTTACTTCCTCCAAAGCCATCACATTCCTACAGCACAATACAATATGTAATCATTGATTCATTCTTCACTGGCAATTGTAGTGAAATGTAAGCAACCAGATCAAAGTATTAACCTCTATCACAAGAAACAGAAAAGTGATATGTTTTGATCAAGGAGTTAACAAACTCTGCTGTAAAAACTATATTCTTTTTTTTTTCATCTTTGTAATAAAATAGATACATGTAGAAGCATACATGTGCACTATGCACAAAATAATAAGATATTTATTTCCACACTTATAATCTTTATTAAATAGAGTTATTAAGATAAACTATGCACTTACCTCAACACTAGAAGAGCTTCGAGGATCTACCACATGAATTTTCTTGTCCTGAAATAAAATGGAAGAACATACAGTATACGACATAACAAACCAAATTAATGACCAGCTCCCAGTTTGATTGCTAGCTCAACTACTTAGAGGACTGCAAGCCTAAATTTTTCAGGCTTTCTTTCCATAACTGCATAAGTTGCATTCTTCAACTGCAATGACCTTCATTTCATCTTATTTTTTCATTCCTCGGTTCCCAGATACATGAAATTCACATATTTATCATCATTTATCGAGAGAGCTATAAATTAAACTCGCCTGACCATGATATGGCAGCTTACATTAAATCATAATTAGGTATGAGGAACCCAATTTCTTCAAGCTATTTAGTTTTTATTGGGCTTCTTCGCCACTCTATCTATTAAAAAAGTCAAGTTACCGGTACTTAGTATTACATTTAATTTTGAACTATTTTTGTAGCTTTTCCTGCCCTGTAAATTTGCAATCTTAGTAATATATATATTTTTCTTTTTCTTTCTGTAATATTTATTCTATGTGGCAAATGTAAAAGAAAAAAAGAAAAAATAAATCAGCTTACGGTTGAATTTTATTCTAAGACAATATATGCTGCTACAACGTTTTTTCCTGTCCACTTCAAGAAAAATAAAGGCCTTGGTATAGTCAACTGTTACTTGTTCAATTAACACCTGTTTTAACTTCTACTGCTTGTATCATAAAGCTTCAGGAAAGATTATTTTCATACAACACAGAAGAAAGTCACGTACCTTACTTGATGTAACTAATAACGAACCATTTACTTTCCAACAAAAACTCTGAATCAAATCCTTGTGGTCTTTCAATTCTGTAATGTACAACAAATTTAACAAGGCTTTAATGTTAAAGCATCTTAATCATATGAAAACTTTACTTTGAACTAAAATTATTCACTGCTAATTGGTAAATTTTTACCAGGATTCGCTTACAAACTTAAGATCTATTTCTAAAAAATTTTCAAGGATTTTCTGGAAACCACTTCTGTTTTTCAAAGGCTCTTCCTTGTTTTAAATTAAAGGCACACTTTCCAGGCAAAATTCACAGGAAAAAGGGCTGCCAAAAACACTAAACACTACACTGTGTGACAGGAATCCAAGTGAAATGGGCAAGGCTAATACTAAACACATTTCGAAAACAGGAATACCCAAACTTGTACTTAAAATATCAACTTTATTTTGCTATCTCCAAGTCTGGTGAAAATTCAAGGATGATTGGAGAAATTTAAGTACTTCTTAAAGATTATATTGATCAGAATTGCAGGACATTTTGAGGACTTCGTCTGAAATTCAAGGCCTTTCCAAGACTGTGCGAACAGTCAGTGGCATCATTATCATGCTTTAACTTATATTTTATCTACAAAACTGCCTTTTTCAGTTGATAAATGTTTGTGGAAATGGTAACAATTATCACAATAACATTGATATAAGTTATGCAATGACTTTATGTAGTTTATGATAATACTCACCATATTTTAGCTGTTGCTTCTGTAAATCCCAGATTGTAAGAGTTTTATCACATGAACTACCAAGTACCTGTAATAAAAGACAATACTTATGATGAAAGAAGAGTGAGAGAGAGATGCCACATTATTAGCTGTTGACTTTCCTTAACTAACAAACAGGATGGAAAACTGTTATAAACTCCATTAATCATATTTACATGTACTAGATTAAGCTCACCTCACTTGCTGAAGGATGGAAGAGGACATTTTCAACACGACCCTTAACAAAAAATGTAAAAAAAAAGAAACATCTTAGTTACATGTCAAACAAAGCAAAGGTAAAAACATCACAATGAGCAATTTGGTTCTATACTCACATGCTGCGCAGGGAGTTCACAAAGAGCTGTGGACAACCCCTTAACTTCTTCATCTGGGATTTCCCATAATTTTATCTGGAAAGTGAAAACCCACTTAGATATCACTAAAGAGAACACTCATCTAACTTGGACCACTTTAGGGGGACAAAGTGGGGCATTTGTCCGTGATAGTCTGAATTTTAAACCCTTTAATTCCCGAATAGAGCAGGAAGCCTTGGCCATGTTGGTATTTTCACGTCTTTGTCACTTCTGCTGTTCGAATTCACCTTTACGTCTTTGTTGCCATTTCATTTGTCCTGTGTCCTTGTTTTAATGCCATGATATTAATTGTTGGAATTTCCCCTAACAGGACTCTTTTGAGAAGTGCGGGTACTATTCAAAAACAAATTTTTGAGTTGCCTCCGAGTTTGTGTGACCCACGTTCTACCTTTCAGCCCTGCTTTGGAGTGTAATGGCAGATCTGTACCTCTGTATCAAAAGCACTTGCCAAAAGTCAGAACTGGCCAGCTGGACAGACCATCACAGTACAGCTGACGTAATTTAACTCCCCTGAGTAACATCTGCGAAGCTGTGCTGATGTCCTTGCTCTGGACCCTCAATGGCTTAAATGAATTACTGGAAATGCTTTTTGAATTCCTTTTCAACCTGGGCCAAGTTGTTTGAATGCCGGTTAGCGCTAACCAGGGGTTAAAATTTAACCTGGAATGCTTTATCTTTTTGTCAAAAGCACTCTCTCAGATAATTTTCTCTATTCTTTTTAGAGTATACAATCATCAAATTGTAGGCAAAGAGAATTAAACTGAATTTGCTTTTTAAGCTCTCATATCTGAGTTCAAATTTCGCACTAACTCTGGGTTATCTTAACCCAGCTTCAAACAACCCGCGCCAGATGGGCAAATCAACAATGGCTTTATCAACATGCCAGTCATGGTACATACTCAAATCCTGTTACACAGGTGGGGGCCCAGAACAGGAATTTTGGCACTGTTTCACAGATGGACTTCAACTCCGTTTGTGGTGCAGGCTACTGGATGGGTCACTATAAAAAGGAATAGGCTTTTCTTGGGAATTTTTGCTAACAACCCATCACTGTCATAAATACTCATTGGGAACAATATAAACTGATCTGGCCAGATGTTCCTGATTAATAGTGAAATTCTCTTTACACCTAGACTGGTGTCATTCACATACTGTAGATGTCTTCTTGACTGGTGTAACTTTCACAATATTATTACACAACAAACATAATGATGATGTCACTTTCAACACTCTCCCAGTTATTTATTCAAATCTTTATACTCACTGCTCGATCATAAGAACAAGTGCAAAGGAGGGATCCATCAAAGGGCGAGAAGTCCATGTCAGTAATAAAATCTACATAAAAACAATGATAGTACAACAATGTAACTAGAGAATAATCAAAGGTTGGGGAGTGTGTGCAAGTTTCAGGCTTCTGATTGAAGGTCAGAATGCTCTTGTTCCAGCACTGAAGATTGTGAGTGGTAGAATGTCCCACTGGTGTGATCAGATTGCATTCTATGTACAGCCAACTCTTGCCTTGCAGACACCCCGATAATGAGGACAGCAGCTAAATTTACAGCAAAAACAAATTACAAACATATGACGAAAATAAACTTTCCCTATTACAGACTCTCACTAATAGGGGACACAAACTTGATGTCCCAACAGTCCCCGCAATCAAGGGAGTTGATTGTATTCCCTTCATTTTTAGCGGAAGTCCAAACATATGCTGGCTACATACATGCCAATCATGTTTGACAGCAACCTGGAGAGTAGAATTTTTGTCTCCTCTTGTCACCCACAAAAAACAGAAAGTAACTTACTAAGCAAAGAGGAAAAGTGGTAGATACCTGAATGTGCATGAAGCAATGGAAGTGAATGATCCTTCCTGCCCTTTTCTCCAAGTGGAAGAACACCAAGACTTCCTCCTTTAGAAAAAAAAGATAATAAAATCAGAAAGATTGTTGTAAAATAGTTTCATTTCACCACGTATATGTTGTAGGTCAAAATGAAATTCACATTAAAATGGTTCAACTCTACTTTGATACTCAGTTTTCTGTCTCTTAGCCCTAAAAGAAATTGAGAATCAACCAAACTTGAAACCATTTCAAACTGGATTTATTTCATTTTGACCTATAACACTAAAATGTTTTGTGGATGATAAAGTAGAGCAGCAATGATTGTCATTTTTGCCAGTTGTACTGTAGTATCCAGCACTGTACCAGTCTCCTCACTAACAAGCACATTGATTCTATTGTTACAAAAATTATTTAAAATGTTGGGCTCATTGCAAAGCTACGCCACTTTCTACCTCGACCAATACTACTGAACATCTATTTAACTTATGGTCTTACTGCCTGGGGTCAGGCATGCAAGACTTATATCTTAAAAAAACTTAATTCTTTAGAAAAGAGCACTTTGTTTGTTGTACTTCACAGACTGGCATGACCATAGAGTTCCATTATTTCTTGAAGCTAACCTACTACCAATAACTTTTCTTTATCATGAGTCTGTATCAATATTATTTCAATGCACAATATCAATCATGATAAAGCCCCAGCAAAAACATTAAATTTATTACAGAAAACATCTCAAGTTCACTCATACAATGCATGACCAACCACATCCAGAAAGTTTTACGTCAAAAGCGCTAGACTAGAAATACAAAATAATTCTTTCTCCAGGCCCGGAGCTAACGTGTGGAATGAGATACCACCCTACATAACAGATCTGCCTAAAAAAACATTCAAGAAAGTTCTTCGTAAATTGCAATTTGATATCTTAGAAAAAGAAGATCACTATATTCCAATCCCTGCAATCATTTAAAAAGTCAGTCTTTGTAGATAGATATACTTGTTAAATTTTAAACTTTCCTTTTCTGTGTTATTCATCCTTAAGAGTGACTCCTTTATCTTAGTGCATTGTTATATTAATTAATAAAGTACGTCAGTAAGAACTAAGTAGTTAATTAGATCACTGAACTTCTTTGTTTTATTCTTTATTTCAACTGTGCAAGGCTTTGTTAAGTGCAGTGTTTTTTATTTTTAGTAGATATGTTATTCATGTACTTGTCTTGCCCCACCACAACTAGCTTTGAAGCTATTTGCCGGGCAAGCTTTTTAACTGCTACTGCATGCAAACAGTGTGCAAAGAAAGTCGTGTCCAATAGCCCGGGGCTAGTGGATTTTGCTGTCGGGCTAGTGTTTTTTGTTCTTAACTTGCCCGATGGGCAAGTGCTGTTTTTTGGGGAAATTCAAATTACAGAAGGATTGTTATCAATCCTGCCAATCAAAAGGGTTTTTTGGGCCAATTGAAATGACTTGTGGGCTACTACATGCTATCTACAGCTTGCCCGCATGGCAGGGTGTAAAACTGACTTTCTTTGCACCCTGGCAAGAATAAAAATTGTTGTTGTTGCTGTTGTTGCACACATGCAGCTTACCTCCGGTGTCCACATTAAATACCATGAATCTGTCACTTGCTTTGATGTGATTTCCATAAGAACTCTTCAAGGCCCCAACATGGATACCAGTAACACATTCCTAAAATAATGTCGATACCCATAAATTCATTTTTCTATAAGTACCAGCATATAAGCGCAAAATGCAAAATGAGTGCTTAATAATAATAATTTATTATTTATAAGGCGCAAAATAGCATTTAAATATATGATCAAATGCTTAATATAACATTAACGTAAGAAGAAAAAGAAAATGATCAGCATAGCTAAAATGTCACAAGTTTTTATTTCTTCTCATGGAGGCCATTTTCTCCACCTATGGTAAATGATCTAATGGATTCCCTCTCTCAAATAAGCACCTCTTGTCTAATATATGCCACCCTCTTCACTTTTCTTTTTATATTAGATGCACCTCTCTCATAAAAGCCCAACTAACTTGCCCTATATGAAAGCCCTGAAGTCATTTAGCAGAACAAAGCTTGCTGTGCTATACATGGCAGTGGTACAACTTGGTTTCAAATGTTGCTGCTGCTGTACTGGAGTCAATCGCGTTACCTCCATATAAATGCTATCAATCATCATTCGTTATTATAAATTTGCCAAAATATTTCTGGGTTTACAAGACATTTTAATAAGTCTCTCAGTCAAGAGGACGTTCCCGAGAAACCTTTCTATTATATTCAATAAGAGCTTTCCAATTGTTCTCAGTTGCAATCGGGGAGGGAATCAAGAGGTGTTAATAGGACAATTGCACGATGACGACATTTGACTACAACTACCAGAATTCATTTCGGTTTTGCTTTGTTATTTAAATTTGTCAATCCCGCTGAGGATTAAAGAACAATAGCCTTAATTTGCATAAGAAAACAACAAACTCAAGGATTCTGGTAGTTGTAGTAACATGACGTCATCGTGCAATTGTACTATTGTGAAAATGACCTTTTAAAACCACCTGTTCCACCCACCATTATAAGAGGTATAAATTTAGGACATTTGAAACATGAAATACAAGTTCAACAAAAAAAGTTCTGATCTGAACCAAAAATACAGTACTTACAAACAGTAGAATACATGATGGTGTTTCAGATCCAAGAAAGACTATAGCAACCTTTCATTCATTTTATGGTCATGGCCGTAGAACTAGTGGGGGGGCCGGGTGGGCCAGTGCTCTTCTTTTGCAGGGGGGGAAAATATAATTGAGGCCTTGACTTTCTGGGAAAGGATACCCACAGACCCCCTCACAAGAACAGGCCTCTCAACTTTACAGTTGAGTAGACCATCAGTGATTCTAACCGTTTTGTCCTCTCACTTTCAAATTCGTTCCAAGGGAGCTGACGTTAATGACACCAACATTCAGAAGCCTAGCTATGCTTGACATGGGGTCATCGACTTCTCAACATTGACAACTCTAAAACTATTATACAATAATTAAGCGTAATTTATTATTTAAGTTATCGCTGGGTAATCTGTTTTTTCCTTACAAAGCAACCCGGAAAAGACTAACCTAACAACAAAATCAGCTGAGACAAGAAACTTCGGCCAGCTGATGTACAACGGGAAGATTGTTGTTTTAAATGGGAAAATCACAAAATCCTTAACGTTTACCTCTTTCTTGGGAATCTTAGGAGCAGCATTTCGGTATTTAGAAGTCTGAAAACGCTTCATCTTTGCAGGTTCCTTCCGAAAAGACAAAATTCTCGTCCGTCAGGCAGCGAGCTCGCCGACTTCCTCCGTTTTGAACGACCGCTACCTCTCATGGGATTATGTTACATATTTCCGCGGGAACTGCTTGAGACCTCGGAAATAGCCATCCGCGGGGGACGACCGAGAGGGGAGAAGAGGCGGAATTTTGTTTGTGTTTTTCAGGCGAGTGAAAGGAGTGGAACGTTTAATAAAGGGAGGATTTTTCTAATATCAGTATATGTACCGCAAATGACCGAATAACGCACGGGTTGTCGACTTAATTTTAGGAGTCCAAAGGGGGATAGATCAAATGTCAGCCCCCCGCCCCCAACGAGTTATATTGGGGGATAGGACAGCTGACCTTGCAGAAGAGTATGTATTTCCGTATGTACAGCTGTATACAGTATGGTATCTAGCCGATTTTTTGAAAGCGAACCTAACGAAATTTACAGTCATGTAAAGTGAAAAAGGTAAAAGGGCAGGTTTTTTGCGCCAAAAATATCAAGAATCACAATATCGAGGGAAAAGGAAAGGAGAAAAAGAAAGAGCGAGGAGGACGAAAAGAGGAGAACAATGGTTGCACTCTTAGGTTTATAATGGCTACTTTGGAGAGTTTTTTGCCGAAAAAAACTGTTTGACGGAAGAAGTCTATTTGGTAGAAACGTTTTCAAACATCCGGCTAGATATAAAGTGAGGTAGAAGAAGACTATATCGATCTATAACCACTAGTAATCGCTAGTCAGCAACGAAAGGACAAATAGACTTGCTCTGTGTTCCAAATGTTCGTGCGTTTTTTTTGAACAGGAAAAAAACATTTTTTTTTTTAATTTGTCGGGACTACAAAACGCCTTCGAAAATAAAGATCAATATTCACTCTTTCCATGAAAAATTTCCAGCAGCCTGAATGCCCTTGTTATTTATTTATTCGGCGTGGCCAAGGCGAGTTTCGGGTCACATGGTCCAAGCGAAAATGTGAAAATGTTTCCCGCCCGTTTGCCTCGGATACGTCACCGAAATGAATTGAATGAGAATAACTGGAAAAACGCCGTTTAGGGACTAGGCAAGGGTGTATCTAGAGTTTGTGCCCGGCTCTAAGATTAAAGGGACATCGCAAAAATTGGCAAGCAAAAATAAGATACGCATGATCCGGGAAAGGGGGCAGTGGTGGAGGAGAAAGAAAGAGACTGCTTCCACTCTTCCCAACCCCCGTGCATTTTTGCACCAGTTTTGAAGACCTCTGCACATTACTATCCTAGAGCCTGGGCCAATGTTTAGGGTACTTGAACAAAACATAATTAACTTGCCCTTCACAAACAAGTAGTCAGAGACAACAAGAGACCAAAGACAGTTCTTCAAGATACAGGTAAATATTTCCCTGCATTATTCAGTACATTCAGAAGTTCTAAGACTAGTATTTCTACCACTGAACATTCAACCTTATTCACACTATGAGCCTTTTAAAGACGCCCTGTAGCTGAGGGATTGCCCGTGTCACTTGATGAGAGTCAAATTGTCTTGTGTTGTTGTTTTGTCAATACTTCACTCTGCTGTCAGACATTTAAAGTAATCAAAAGAAAGGATGTCTTTTGTTGCGATTTCATATGCCATTCACCTAGTCGTAATTTAACCTAGCGACACATCATGGTGCATAGTACTGGCTCACTAGAGGTAAACAGCTCAGTGCTGGGAGTATTCCAGGGGCGGATCCAGGATTTTTTTTAGGAGGGGGTGCACTCGTCTCTTGCTCTACTTCAACACCAATAAACCACATAGTTTTTTTTTTTGCAGAATACCAGTTGTATTAGAAAACAGGCTATCATCTCACTGGGTCCATCAAATTACAACCCCCTAGATCCGCCTCTGTATTCATCATTACAAAATACTTTGCCGCATCTCAATGTAACTTATCAGTATTACTTAACCCTACAAGAATGCTTGTTAGCAAGTTATCATTTTGTACTGATTGTCCACCAAATTACAACTTGGACCAGATGATTACTGTACCATCTGCATTTCCTTCTTTTCGACCATGTATAGCCAATGATATTCAGTACTTTTAAAGAAACAGCTGCTAAAGGAACGAATCTTGCGCCGCTGAATGAAGCTCTTGATAGCTGTCAAACCCAGTTTCTTCGTCAGCAAGTGGAATCAGTGGAGGCATGGGCATGGGAATATGTGGGATGTTTACTTGCATGGAGGCAAAGCTCTGTGGAGAGAGAGGATTTAACGTTGGTGACACAACAAATGAACTTCGTTGATCAGGCGAGCTTTTGTCAATGACAGGTGATGAATTTGTTGCTGAAGATGAAGATGCAAGCGTCTTCTGCTTGGCGTTTTTTGTCCTTGGTTTCTTCGCAGGTGGCTCCTTGGGGACTTTATCTGATGTATACTTTTTCATTTCTTTTTCATATCTTTCTTTGTCTTTTTCATACATCTCATAATAAACCTAAAACATGAACAAAGTTATTTATCATTAAACGGGCTATGTCTGGCTACTTGCTATCCTTTTAAAAACAAAAAGACGTTTCTGATCATCACTTGAATTTTAAAAATAATCATCGAGTTTAATAATTGTAATTTACCGTATTTATTCGAATAAGCGCCCAACCTTGAATTAGCACCCACCTCGAATAAGCGCCAATCCTAAAGGCAGAAAAAGTTAATAAGGGCCCAGCCTCGAATAAGCGCACACCCTCTCCTCCTCCCAATCAAATTCAAATAAGCGCTCACCTCCACCTCACCCAGTGAATAATTATAATAAGATACTTCCCCAAGGGTGGAGTTTTCTTCAGAGTATTTACAGAAACCTTGCTTTGTTACTTCTTCACGTTTTGTCATTAGCATTTACTGGTTTGTTGGAAAATAAACGTACACTACACTTGCTGAAAATGGTGAAAATTTAATAAGTGCCCAGCCTCTAATAAGTGCCCACTCTCAAGGTCAAAAACTTTAATAAGCGCCCAGGGCAGTTAATTGAATAAATACGGTAAGACTTTATTTAGGCCCTGAAACTGTTTTCTGTTGCCATGGATGACGATGGACATGGATTGAAACAAGTTTACTTTATTTAACTATTCCCTCGTCTGCTGAAACTTGGAAAATCTTTGAAACCATGCCGTGTCAATTTTTTTTCGCTTAAGCTGACATTTAAGCGAGAAAAATCTGTATTTTGGAAAGCATTTTTTTCGCAAAACAAGAACTGATTATGCGTGCAAGACTTTGTGTACAAGACTTCGCAACTGGTAAGAATTTCTCTTTTAATCAGTGCCATAACTAAGAGTTTTGTGATTTTTCTTGGGAAGGTTGATTAATAAAAGAAATAGAAAACTTTTTTCCTGTATTTGCATCGCCTGATATAGTACTGGAGGGGCTGGGAGAATTCTCAACAGTTATGCAAACCCTCTCCCAACCCCTCCCCTGTTTATATCAGGCTATGTAAACATGGAAAACATTTTCTATTGCTTAAATATGCAATACTGTGGTAAAGGTTTTTCAATGGCGAACATGACGGGGACCAGCTCTGAAGTACAGACTGGATAAGATAAGTTTAAACAACACATGCCTTCTTGTCATCAGTGGCCAAATTATTCCACTCTTTTGCCAATGACTTTGTCAACTCGTGATGTCCAATACTGGGATCCTTATGATCATCCTGCATAACAGTACGCTGCTGCTGACAGTACATGAAGAAGGCATTGGCAGGTTTCTTTGGAGCATTGGGATCCCTGTCTTTATCTTTGTCCTTGGCAGTCTCGCGTTTCTTGCTCTTTTTTACAGCAGGCAAGTCTGGACTAGCAAACTCGCCAGGGAAGAAAGATGGAGGAACCGGTTTTGAGAATGCTTCAGCAACTATTTCTGAAAGAAGTTCAGCCTAGCAGGAGAAATAATTAAATTAACGGCTGTCAATAAGATTTCAAATTGCTGAGAATATGCAATTAGCAGGGCCCCAGTTGTTCATATGGTGGATTATTCCAGTGCAAATGAATTCCCTAATACTTAACTACTCTTTATTGATTTATCTGGTGGTTTTACTATCCAACGTTTGAATAACCTGCGAGCAAGTTCTCCAGTTGGGGTATAATATTATTATTGTGAAAAGTACACATGTGAGCAGCACACAAGGGGAGACGCAACAACAGCGAGGGGTAGGAGAAAGGAGAGCTTGCAATGATGTTTGATAAAGTTTCATTTCCAGCCCGGAAACCGCAGGAAACCACAAAGCATTAAAACTATCACTGAAAAGAAGAAATGTGTCAGCCGCTTTTCAGTTTCTTGTATTGGGCCAAGTGCGCCAATTCTGCTAGGATTCCAAAAAGAGCAAAATATTACAATTTCTCACTAAGACAAGACTACTAAAAGAAGATAACTTGTCTGGACCTTCTGGTCACTGCCTATAAACAGAGTTTGATCTACAATATTCCTTGAATTCAGCGGAGACATGTTGCTTCAAAGCCACTGCAAACGCCTGGTTAGCTCAGTTGGGAGAGCGCCGGTCTACTGAGCGGGAGGTCGCGGGTTCAAACCCCGGCCGGACCAACACTCAGGGTCTTTAAATAACTGAGGAGAAAGTGCTGCCTTTGTAATAATATCTGCAAACGGCTAGACTTTCTAGTCTTCTCGGATAAGGACAATAAACCGTAGGCCCCGTCTCACAAAGCCCTTGCACATGTATTAAATCTGTGGGACGTTAAAGAACCCACACACTCTTCGTAAAGAGTAGGGCACGTAGTGCCCGGTGTAGTGGCCTATCTCACTTTCACACTCATGTATGGGGGCATCATTACTCATTCCTTCACTACTTGTAAACTGCACCTTAAGCAGTCTGGCAAAGTCCCCCAACCAGTGTTGTAAATTATCCCTGAAAAGCCCTGAGGGGAGTGGATAATAAGATATTTACAATTACAATTTACAAACGTCAGAAATCACATTCATTACTTTCCACTGCAATAAACGTGGTTAGATTTAGTATCGTAATATGTTCTCCTGGAACCATTTCTCAGCCTTTTGATTCGCCGGTTTATACAATCCACGGGCTTAAGATCCAAACTGAACCGTAAAAAGACACAGTTCACAGTTATGTTTCACAAAAGGAGAGAGCAGTCTCCTTCCTCATAAAAAGTAGCAACCTTCTTGATTTCCGTAAGCATTGTTTTTCTAAATTCACGGCAAGGAATGTCATTGATCAAAATTAATTGACAGTGCATAATTTTTAAGCCAATGGTTTTGCTTTGTTTGGGCAAAGAAGACATGAAAATTTATAAGAGATCATTGTAAGCTCTCTTTTCCCAGCTGCTTGTTGCGCATTCTCATGTGGCTTGCCCCGCTCACCCAGATGGAGAGCTTGCTCACAGGCTGAACGTTTGAACAACTGGGACCAGGTGGGAAACTTAAAGGGAAGGAGGTTCTTTTGCCTCCATTTTCCTTTTGTTTCCTACGAAAGTAGCCAGGGTTCATGCTCATCATCATTAGGGAAAATCCCTTGGTGTGACAGCCCTGAAAATGGTTAAGGCTAGTTTGCACATAATCAGATCCCCATCATTCCATTGTATTTTGGGGAACGACAGTTTTATAGTAAAATCAAAATAAATAAAATTAAATTAGTACAGATTATCTTCCCTTATTTTTAAACTCCAGAAAGAGACCACATGACCCATGGTCTCATCTCAACATTTGCTCTATGTACTATGCTACTCAGAGAATATAAAGCCCTTTTAGTGACAACCTGACTCTTTAATTTTTCCCAAGTCATTTGATTCTAGAAGGCAACCACCCCCTGTCATTGACCTCAAAGGGATTGTTTACATAAGAAAACTCGCACCGGCATAAGTTTCGTACCGGGATGACTTTTTTATTTCGTATCGCATTACATCATGACTGGGTCATTTCATATCTCGTTATTTGAAGGTACACCTTATGTTGATAAAATACACGTAAGATTCAAAATTGCAAACATTACACATGCGCCACCTGTTCTAGTCTACCAGCAGACCGATTTCATGCTGAAACATGTGGTCATTTTGCATCAGTTGCGAGATTTCGTACCGGAGTGACATTCTCGCCCCAGCACAATGACCGGGGTGAACTCACACTGGGGTGACTCGTTCCGCCATGTCATTTTTTGTTGGTATCATGTAAACAAATGTAGAGCCACGAGAGGGAACCGGAGTGAGCTTACTCAGGTGCAGAAGTTGTCCCTGTGTCACGTAAACACCCCCTAAATCTTGGCATTTACCCTAAAGGGAATTTCAACTGCATTTTAAAGCATTTATGGACTCGTCACCAACTTGGAATCTCCATATTAAACTCTTTAAATCTGGGTGGCAAAATTCTGTAAATATCTCCTCCATGTTTAAAAAAAGGCAATTACATAAACTTTGGTAACATAGTTGTATATCAATCTTCTATCATCTCTCAGATTCTTGACTTTACTCATCAAAATAATCAACATGACATCACAGTGGAAACAAGTAATTTATTAACAATGAATACAAACGATGTAGATATAAAGTGCAACACAAGTATACCTGAAATGGAGATTGTGCATCTCGAAAGTCATCATTGTAATCATCTAACCTGTCCTTGAGAAAGCTAAAAATAAGGAGACATTCATTCTTAAGCTCAAAAGTAAAACACAAAAGCTACTGGGATGGCTCTATCAATAATATTACAAGCATACCAATCCCCCAGGCATTACTTGGGAATTTGTCCTTTTTTCTTGAATGGGGCCAGCAGATTCATACAAAAACCCGACAATGGGGCTTAAAAATGTGTCCAAATGTCCCTCCCTGGAAACGAGGCATCTAAAAAAATGGATTTCGTTACTTTTAAGGGACCGTTGCTTTATAGAGGAAAAAACTTACTGAATGCACGAGCAAAATGATGAGTTTATGCAACAATGTGACAAATTATGTGCCAAATGTAAAATGTAGAAGATAAAAAAACGTCAGTTATTTTCTGCATTATTCTCACCTGAATCTATGGTAAATTGCCTAAATTCCCAAAAATTACAAAGAAATGTCCCGACTGCGACATTGATGGTTCGTAGCTAAAAGATGCTTTCAAGAATGACCAGTATTTGCACTTCATTCATTCTTTGATGTCGAACTGATGTGACATTATTTTTTTCCTTGTTTTAAACTCGTCATTTTGCTTGGGCACTTAATTATAAAGCTACAGTCCCCGAAAAGTAATGAAAGCCAGAAAGATGCCAATTCATGGCATAGGTGAAACTGAAAAAGAAGAACAAAATGCTTCATAACTACAATAAAGCCACAATATAGAATAGAATTAACTGAGAGATTTCCTAATTTTTCAGACAGACCTTAGATTTTTTAATAAAATAAGATCATCTTGACCATGCAATTATTTTACCATGACAAAAAAAAATGTAATTTGGCCTCCAAAGTGTCACTTTATACAGTTAAACCTTGCCATGGCATTCCTTGCAAACAAAGACGATTTCTCTTGAAATTCTTTGCAACCTTCCCAAAGCTGTTCTTAGCCTTTCTCCAAAAGAGGGTTATCTTCTCTTCAAAATAACTTTTACCTGGTTAGTATTCGGCAAAGAAAATATCTATTACAATCCATTTTTTCAAGATCCTTTAGAGATATAATCTACCTTTAATATTAAGTTTCTTTTTGTTTACTTTTTATTTGTCATATATTTTCCCTTTTCAAAGTCGTGAAAAATTAGACATTCATATATGACAAATTCCCCACTCTGGCAGGCCTTAAAGACAAATACCCACCATGGGAAAACAGCACTAGAAAAATGCCGGACAAATGCCAGGGGGAGATGGGAAGGCTTAAATATGAATAGTGTCATAGTGTCAAAGCTTGATTCTAAACCAACATAGTCTAGAATCATCACGTCATCTCTGTTTCATTGAATAAGTTACATAAAAAAATATGTAATCTGAATAAAACAATATAGAGACAATAACGACACCATTCCTACCTTCGTTGTTTTCGGTAACGTTTAAGGAGACTCTTAACGTGATAAATTCGATTCACCAACCTCTCGTTCTCCTGAAAGAACATCAATTTTTGTAATTCAAAAGACTTTTAGTGTACCTTCTTCCGAAGGCGGTTGGCATATTCTTAAAGAACATAATCTCACCTGTTCTATCTGCCTGCAGTTTTTAAGAAGGGTAAAATACTTTCCTTTCCACAAGCCTTCATGATCCAAGGAGATACTTTCTGTGACCTCCTGTTCACTGTCGTCCGCCATCTTGCCTACGTTCCTACCCAGCAGCCTTTGCTTTGTAACCGTAAAGCCGGAAATAAAACGTTTACCTGAGGAAGCAACTGTGAAGAAGCGTTTCGCGCGTTTTCCCTAGTCCCTGGGGCGCTCCCCCTTGGCGGGTCCAGTGTAGAAATGGTTTGCAAAACTGAATAAACACGCTGTCTTCTTTCAGCAGCTCATGGATGCTGGAAGTAAATTCTAAGAAAACAAAAATTATGATCTTTCACAAACGAGCAAAAAAACTCACCGATAACTTTCATACAGGCAAAGACGTTATTGATCTTGTACACGAGTACACGTATTTGGGAACGCGAATTTCATCAAATGGAAATTTTAATGTTTCACAAGAAGATTTAAATTTAAAAGACAAAGCGCTTCACCCTTTATTCAGCCTACAAAAACACACAGACTTAAGCAAATTAAGACCTTCTCTTGCCTGCAAAATATTTGAAGCAATGATTTAACATGATATTATCATAAAAAAGCGAAACTTAGGGTGTAGGTGTAAAAACATGATTTTAAAGCTTGGAAAAATACCCCCAAATGAAAAAACCCACTTGAAATTTTCCAAACGTTACCATGAAATAAGCAAAAATGCTTCAACTGTCGCAAGTAAAGGTAAATTAGGTCGATTGCCATTAATTACAGGGCAATAGAAAAACAAAACAATCTTTCACTACATATTGTATCTTTTGCAACCTCGTCCCCAGAGCTTTTTTTAAGGGAAAAGCCCTGGGGACGAGGTTGGTATCTTTGGCGTAAAAGCAAGGATACTATTGTTAAACAAGCCTTTCATAACTCTCTAGAACTTCACTACAATAGTAAAAATACCTTTTACCATAATCTCATAGTCCCCAGGGCTCTCCCCCCCCCCTTGGGCGGGCAGTCCCCAGGGCTCCCCCCCTTGGGCTCTCCCCCCTCAGCACTTAGTCCCCAGGGCTCTCCCCTTGGGCGGAGCACTTAGTCCCCAGGGCTCTCCCCTTGGGCGGAGCACTTAGTCCCCAGGGCTCTCCCCCCTGGGCGGAGCACTTAGTCCCCAGGGCTCTCCCCCCCATGGGCGGAGCACTTAGTCCCCACTTAGTCCCCAGGGGGCGGAGCTTAGTCCCCAGGGCCCCCCCCTGGGCGGCTCTCCCCTTGGGCCGGAGCACTTAGTCCCCAGGGCTCTCCCCTCACTTAGTCCCCAGGGCTCCCCCCCTTGGGCGGAGCACTTAGTCCCCAGGGCTCTCCCCCTTGGGCGGAGCACTTAGTCCCCAGGGCTCTCACTTAGCCCCCAGGGCTCTCCCCCCCCTTGGGCGGAGCACTTAGTCCCCAGGGCTCTCCCCCCTTGGGCGGAGCACTTAGTCCCCAGGGCTCTCCCCCCCCCCCCCTTGGGCGGAGCACTTAGTCCCCAGGGCTCTCCCCCTTGGGCGGAGCACTTAGTCCCCAGGGCTCTCCCCCCCCCACTTGGGCGGAGCACTTAGTCCCCAGGGCTCTCCCCTTGGGCGGAGCACTTAGTCCCCTCTCCCCCCCCCCTGGGGAGCTCTCCCCTCTCCCCCCCACTTGGGCGGATGAGCACTTAGTCCCCAGGGCTCTCCCCTTGGGCGGAGCACTTAGTCCCCAGGGCTCTCCCCTTGGGCGGAGCACTTAGTCCCCCCCCCTTGGGCTCTCCCCCCAGGGCTTGGGCGGAGCACTTAGTCCCCAGGGCTCTCCCCCCCCCTTGGGCGGAGCACTTAGTCCCCAGGGCTCTCCCCTTGGGCGGAGCACTTAGTCCCCAGGGCTCTCCCCCTTGGGCGGAGCACTTAGTCCCCAGGGCTCTCCCCCCCCCTTGGGCGGAGCACTTAGTCCCCCCCTTGGCTCTCCCAGGGAGCACTTAGTCCCCAGGGCTCTCCCCTCCCCGGAGCACTTAGTCCCCAGGGCTCTCCCCCCCTTGGCCGGAGCACTTAGTCCCCAGGGCTCTCCCCCCTGGCCGGAGCACTTAGTCCCCAGGGCTCTCCCCCCCCTTAGTCCCCAGGGCTCTCCCCTTGGGCGGAGCACTTAGTCCCCAGGGCTCTCCCCCTTGGGCGGAGCACTTAGTCCCCAGGGCTCTCCCCCCCTTGGGCGGAGCACTTAGTCCCCAGGGCTCTCCCCCCTTGGGCGGAGCACTTAGTCCCCAGGGCTCTCCCCCCCCAGCGGAGCACTTAGTCCCCAGGGCTCTCCCCCCCCCTGGGCGGAGCACTTAGTCCCCTCCCCCCTCTCCCCCCTCCCCTTGGGCGGAGCACTTAGTCCCCAGGGCTCTCCCCCTTGGGCCCCAGAGCACTTCCCCAGTCCCCCCCCCTTGGGCGGAGCACTTAGTCCCCCTTGGGCTCTCCCCCTCTCCCCCCCCCCCTTGGGCGGAGCACTTAGTCCCCAGGGCTCTCCCCCTTGGGCGGAGCACTTAGTCCCCAGGGCTCTCCCCCCCCCCTTGGGCGGAGCACTTAGTCCCCCCCTTGGGCTCTCCCCCTCTTGGGCGGAGCACTTAGTCCCCAGGGCTCTCCCCCTTGGGCGGAGCACTTAGTCCCCAGGGCTCTCCCCTTGGGCGGAGCACTTAGTCCCCAGGGCTCCCCCCTGGGCGGAGCACTTAGTCCCCAGGGCTCTCCCCTTGGGCGGAGCACTTAGTCCCCAGGGCTCTCCCCCCCCCCTTGGGCGGAGCACTTAGTCCCCAGGGCTCTCCCCCCCCCCTTGGGCGGAGCACTTAGTCCCCAGGGCTCTCCCCCTTGGGCGGAGCACTTAGTCCCCAGGGCTCTCCCCCCCTTGGGCGGAGCACTTAGTCCCCAGGGCTCTCCCCCCCTTGGGCGGAGCACTTAGTCCCCAGGGCTCTCCCCCCCTTGGGCGGAGCACTTAGTCCCCAGGGCTCTCCCCCCCTTGGGCGGAGCACTTAGTCCCCAGGGCTCTCCCCCCCCTTGGGCGGAGCACTTAGTCCCCAGGGCTCTCCCCTTGGGCGGGAGCACTTAGTCCCCAGGGCTCTCCCCCCTTGGGCGGAGCACTTAGTCCCCAGGGCTCTCCCCCCTGGGCGGAGCACTTAGTCCCCAGGGCTCTCCCCTTGGGCGGAGCACTTAGTCCCCAGGGCTCTCCCCCCTTGGGCGGAGCACTTAGTCCCCAGGGCTCTCCCCCACTTAGTCCCCAGGGCTCTCCCCCTTGGGGGAGCACTTAGTCCCCAGGGCTCTCCCCCCCTGGCCCTCCCCCCTTGGGCACTTAGTCCCCAGGGCTCCCCTTGGGCGGAGCACTTAGTCCCCAGGGCTCTCCCCCCCTTGGGCGGAGCACTTAGTCCCCAGGGCTCTCCCCCCCTTGGGCGGAGCACTTAGTCCCCAGGGCTCTCCCCCCCTTGGGCGGAGCACTTAGTCCCCAGGGCTCTCCCCCTTGGGGAGCACTTAGTCCCCAGGGCTCTTCCCCCCTTGGTCCCACTTAGTCCCCAGGCTCTCCCCCTTGGGCGGAGCACCCCAGTCCCCAGGGCTCTCCCCCTTTGGGCGGAGCACTTAGTCCCCAGGGCTCTCCCCTTGGGCGGAGCACTTAGTCCCCAGGGCTCTCCCCCCCCCTTGGGCGGAGCACTTAGTCCCCAGGGCTCTCCCCTTTGGGCGGAGCACTTAGTCCCCAGGGCTCTCCCCTTGGGCGGAGCACTTAGTCCCCAGGGCTCTCCCCCCCTTGGGCGGAGCACTTAGTCCCCAGGGCTCTCCCCAGGGCACTTAGTCCCCAGGGCTCCCCCCCTTGGGCGGAGCACTTAGTCCCCAGGGCTCTCCCCCTTGGGCCCACTTAGTCCCCAGGGCTCTCCCCCTTGGGCGGAGCACTTAGTCCCCAGGGCTCTCCCCCTGGGCGGAGCACTTAGTCCCCCCCTTGGGGCTCTCCCCCCCTTGGGCGGAGCACTTAGTCCCCAGGGCTCTCCCCCCTTGGGCGGAGCACTTAGTCCCCAGGGCTCTCCCCTTGGGCGGAGCACTTAGTCCCCAGGGCTCCCCCCCCACTTAGTCCCCAGGGCTCTCCCCTTGGGCGGAGCACTTAGTCCCCAGGGCTCTCCCCCCCCTTGGGCGGAGCACTTAGTCCCCAGGGCTCTCCCCCCTTGGGCGGAGCACTTAGTCCCCAGGGCTCTCCCCCCTTGGGCGGAGCACTTAGTCCCCAGGGCTCTCCCCCCTTGGGCGGAGCACTTAGTCCCCAGGGCTCTCCCCCCTTGGGCGGAGCACTTAGTCCCCAGGGCTCTCCCCCCTTGGGCGGAGCACTTAGTCCCCAGGGCTCTAGGAAAAATCAGTATAGATAAACTTACCTTGATACTTACCTTTTTTAGTTATCTCTTTTGCTTTGTTGTGTTTTTTTTAATATTTGGTCCCTTGCGGTCTTTTGAGTACTTTTTTGTTGTAGTAATCTTGGTTGTTTTTTGTTGTTGGTTTACGCTGAGGAATTCAGCTCTTGGTAAGGTTCCGTTTTGTCTACGAAACTGTAGTTGCTTTACTGAATTCAAAAGCGTAAACTTCTTTGAGAGTGTTATATTTTTAGGGGGTGAGGACCGAATTTGTTTAATTTATAACTAAATACAACATGTTTTCTAGGTGTTTATACCAAGCCAGAATTGTCTGAGTGACGAAAAAGCTCAGATTAAAATTATTGATAAGAAATATTCAACATGAAAAGAAATCTAACTTAATCGTTGAACCTCGAGATCTTTAAGAATAATGACCGAATGCGTATTTTTCCATAGTCTTAGGACCAGCAGGTTATTATTATGGTCACTGAATATGAACAGTAGGTTATTATTTCTAATAATGATCTTCTGTTCCACCTCAACGACCTGTTCTTAAAATTTACGTAAAATAATAACCTGTTTAAAACATTGGAAAATTGCATGAAGACCCGACTAACCGACTGTGTTTAGCAAAAGATGAACTTACCATAGGTTTGGTATATAGTAAATAAATGACAGACACACAAATGCGTTGGCTGCATATCCTTTTTAAGGACCGTGGCAGTACTTTTATTGTTATTTTGAACACTTTTTTGGCAGGCAA